CAGGAAAATCAGATAGTGAGAAGAACCTGGTAGATGACTGTAGATTTGCATCTGCTGCATGCAAAAGATGAATGTTTAGGTAAAAAGAAACTTTCCCATAAAGAAAAATTCTTTTTCTTTAAATGCTTTGTTCTAGTTATCAAAATACAGGAGTGCGTTACAACACCTGCTCTGCAGATGAAATGCAATACTTGTCAAAGTCCTCATGTTAATGTCGACAAATATAGGAACTGATACCATTGATAGTGATATTTAATTTGGTCATGAAGAACCATCCTGAAATCTCATTACAGCATATTACCTAGCACGGCTACTCCAGACCCAGTAAGCAGGCAGATCTATAAAACAGACAAGTACTCTCCATCTTGCTACTAATCTTAGTAAGGACTGATTCCAGCACTGTTCAGTCCTGAGAAGTGGCAGAAACTAGACAAAATGCAAACAGTTTAGAATACTATTTTTCTTGATCTCTAAAGGCATTTGGTCACAAAGTGGTGCTAGCAGTTCTTTTTTACCATGCCAAGCACCTTCAATACACACAGAAATAAAACAGCAAGCAGTTATTCAGTGTCAGCAGATACCCCTGCTGAAACACGATTTCCTTAATCTGCTTCTTCTCTCAAATCTTCGGGGGGGCAGTGAGGGGGGCAGGCACAGGGGGTCCTTTTAATGTTTGAGAGGGTTGAGGAATTTTTTTCTAATGACGAATCCTTGGTTTTATCTTTGGTCTTATTGTACAAGATAGCGATAATGTTTTCAGTGATTTCATCTCTCAGGAAGGCGAAGTCCAGGGTAAGATAACAACTTGAGAATGTAATAAACCATTCTCTCCTTTCTTCTCTCAGCCCAGTCACATAAATATGGTGTTAATCCTGTAAATCCTTCTTAGGCTAGCCTCTGATCAATTTAAGAAAATTGTTTGTCCTGTTCATCTTAATGCAACAAGGTGTTGTCGTAAGACATGTAAGTAAACACGTGTATTTTCTTTGTGTGAAACTGTCCAGATACCGGAGCTTTCCGCTTTCTTACTCCCTATGAGAATATTTACACTTGCTCCGCATGTCTGTTACACAGAAGATTTTCACCATACCCTCAAAGCTACAGTACACATACAAAATGGTTCTTGAAAAGATTAATTTTCACCACTTTAGATGCTAATACAGAAATCCCTAAGCAGTTTAAGACTTGTTTATCAGTGTCCGTATTACTTCTAACAGAACACCATCAGAAATTGTTATGGCCATTCAGACAGTATGGGAAAGACGCTAACCAAAATCTACCTTTATTTTAGTAGCAAGGTAAATAAAATATTTTAAAGCCCCTAATTGCTTTTTGGAAACATTCAGTTTTCGCATGAGGGAACTAGACAAATGACAGCAGACATCAGCTATGGTCTAAGCAATGACAAAGCTACAGAAAACACATATAATTAATTAATTAGCCAAGTATTGTGTAAGGTACTCCTAAGAGTTCTTCCTGAACTTAAACTGAAATATTCTTCGCAACCGTTTCCATATTCTCTCATATAAACAGATAAAATAGTTAACTGAACTAATAAAATTTCTGAAGACTTCTAGAAATTACGTTTCACTCTGAAATTAATGTAGAACATTCACCTTTTTTTTTTTTTCAGAATATAAATTGGACACTAAAGGGATTCCTGAAGGGAAGATAATTCCAACTGGAGATTTAGTGTTACTAGAAAAAAACTGGTATTGTATTTTTCCTATTGCTAAAGAGATTGCTTCCAGTATATACACAGTAAAAACTGGTATCTGTTTTATCTTGATAAAACATTAAAGAATCAGACATATTAAAAAAATGTTCAATAAAATAGAGGTAGAGGAATTTTGAAGCATCAATGCAGTTAGTTGTCCTTCTATTTGAAAAGATGGACTTAATTTCTACTCTAAGATTTTCCAAATAACGTGGAATGGTACCACAGATATGTATAGTGGGAGTTTTGTGGTGGTTCCCTCCCCCCCAATTTTCCGTGTGAACCTGGCAATATTTTTATGAGTGTTTTACAATTTTGCCACGTATTACAAGTTATTGTCAAGGTATATAATGACTCTTGATTTCAGGGAGCAAGTTAGTCTTTGCAGAAAAAATCTCATATGACAAAAATCAAACAAATAGAAAATAATTCTGGTGACTCTACCACAAAAGTGCCCAGCAAATACCCAAATGTGTGGTGAACACATATGTGTGTATAAAATCTATGCCAACTAGAGCTCCAAAAAGCAGAACAACTTGCATGTGTTTACAGGAGATTGTGTTGCAAGGTACTCAGTGTCATTCTACAGTGATAAATGTAAAGTACATTAGGTTGCAAAGATGTAGCAGAGTAGTTATACATCACAATATTCTTTTGGTCTGAATGCAGCCTGAAAACATATTTTGGGAATTATAGATTTTTGCTTTACAGAAAGCTAGATAAATTGCTAGTATTGTATTTTTTTAATAATTCTGTTCCTAAACATGTTCTTGTCACATTATGCTTAATAGCATCACAAGTGATTTGGAAGTAAATATAAAATCATTGCTTATTAAAGTTTCTAGTTGCAAAAAAAGTATCAGAGTGCTATGTAATAATTAGGAAAGGTCAGTTATAGAGATTGAGTACAATCTATTTTTGAAGTAGGTTCATTTGAACAAAACAGCTACCTGCAATTTCAGACTTATCAGGAATTTGTGTCATTACTGGGATGAAAGGTTGTATCCTAGAAAGTAATGACCCTGGACAATAGTATTGTGTTGTATGACCAACTGAAACAAAAACTTTACTGAAAAAGTGGCTTAAGAGAATTTTGTGCACCCATATATGGGAATACAGAGGAAATAATATTTCTGTTGCCAGGACTAGTAAAATAATTTTTTTTAATATTGTACCTAGTTCTTCATCGGCCTTCCCCAAACTTCTGTATGGTATTAGTCAACAGCTTCTCAAGCAGAATGAATACTTCACACAACAGCACTGCAGTTCCAAAATACGTACACCATTAAAATACTTCAGATCAGCGATCAGACGCTGAAGGTCTGTGAGTTGCCAAAGATTTAGGGAATTTCATGTGCAGACTTGATGTATCTTATAAGCCTGGTTTTGCTTAGACTGTGAGCAAAGATGCCAAGTTTATTTCTAGGTTGCTCTGTATTTCAGTATAATCCAGTCATACAGGTAAAACACTACTTTGTACAGTGCTGACATCTAATATTAATCTCTGCTATCTAACAAATATTTACTGGAATACACATTTGATTGTATACTTTGTCTGAATTTTACAATCAAGATGCTAGGTTCCTCCTTCTTTCTGATCTCAACATCTGCAGTTCAGTGCTGTAAAACCTAATGCACAAAGCCCTATAACTCAGCTTTCTGAAATATATTTGCAGTATGCAGTTCAATCTGGTCACTCTTTTTGCACATCATAAGCATAACCAACATGTTCAGTAACATCCACTTCAAGAATGTCATTTACCTGTGCTAGAACTTGCTGCTAGTAAGAACAGCAGAAGGCTAAAGGTAAGATGTTCTAAATCATAAATGACATGGATGCATAACAAAAATTTTTTAATGCTAAACACTTTTAAATAACCTTAAGGGAAAAAGAGCAATTCAGTAAGATAAGATGAATGATCTATTACATAATGCATGGGAAAAGAATTGTTAGGTGAAACTGTAATAATAAGTGTTATCATTGTAAGTTAGTTTCTGGATGCTTGATGATGAAAAGGATTGAGTATTATACAAAATGAAAATGCATATTGTTCTCCTTTCTGCACTTACTGTGTCATTTCTAATTCAGACAGCAAATTACAAGAACAGCCTTTCAACATGGAATGTGGGGAAGATTAGTGATGGCTAGTTCTAAAATTCAGCAATACTTTAGGACACCTCAAACTTTTGTGAGCTCCTATTTCTCTGTAAACACCTTATTTGCTATTTATCTTCTGCTTTTATTGTGCCAAAGGTCTGTGCAGGCTTTGCAGCAGAAGTTAGCTTATCATATTCATCTTCCCTAGATGAAGAAAATGTGTTATCTGACATGCTGCTTGGAGAACCATTAGAAATATTATTGTATTCTGCTTACATGACAACCTTGAAGCAGTTAACTGTAAATTATGCAAACAGGCAAACATGTGACATTTAACTACAAAACTTACAAGGAAATGTAACTCTGAACAACCATAAACCTGTTAGTTGCTATCAACACAATAGCTTTTGAAAAGGCATTTGTTTCTACTGGAACAGTTTTTGGATGAAAAAGGCCTATTTGGTCACCTGGGTTATCCAAATACAATTGCTTGAAAATGATACAGTGAGGAATGATCCTGACCCAGCAATAGCACTTACCTGATAATAGCACAATTGAAGTAGCTTAAAAAAGGTTCTAAATATATGCAATTTACATCATACAAATATCCTTTTTTTATATATCAACATTTTGTTTAATCCCATCTTGCTTTTATGAGTGATGGTAACAGATTTATTCTCTGGAAAACTGATATTCACAATGAAAGTAGTATTTTCAATTACTTTTATTTCTAAGAAATAAATGGGCAAATAGGTCTCCCAATCATGCACACAGTTCAGTGACAATGATTTATGGTAGAAGTGGCTGGCTTTTTATCCTTTATGAATATTAAAATTTGGTAATATTCCAATAAATTTGCTTTTCTTTATTTTTTGCAACAAGGTTTAATATGTAAACTGCCAGTCTGGAACTTGATCACTAAATTGAAAACCCAACGGCACAACATCAAGGATTCCTCTTCTTTCATCTCATCAATAGTTTAAAAAGTTTTAAATAAGAAAAACACTGAGAAACATAGAGGCTTGCATTAAAAGTAGTAAAATAAAATCTCATTTAGACATATAGAAATATATGTCTTATGTACACATACTAAGTAGCTACTCCTATAAGTGCTTATTAAATCCTTGAGTTCACATTTTGCTACTCATTTTTAAAGTTGCCTCAGTGATCAGTTGTATTTCTTACTTTCACTTTGATTTCCATTTCTTCAAGCTCTTGAAGTAACTCTTCATTTTCCAATAGACATGAGCCTAAGTTCTGCTTGTGAAAATAATCTCTGATGTTTTTCTTGTACCAAGATGTTACCTAAATAAATAATCAAAAAATTAAGTCAGTAAAAAATTTGAGAAGTGACTGTCCATTTTTAAAAATATGTACAAGACAGTTTCATCTACAAAAGAAACCCTAATTTTCATTCCTTTCATTTTTCATTCCTAATGGTCATGCTTTTATTCAAATGTTTGCATTTTTATTATTTAAATGTTAATAAATGCAGAAGGAAAGGATTGTGGTCAAAATGAACACATATTGGAATATATGTAACAAAACAGACAAAAAAAAAACTATGACCAAATTATAAATTAACACAGTAAAAGAAAAATCAAGTTATAGTCACATATAGAATGCATGTTTTATAACATGATAAAGATACTGCACATTTTCCCTAGAATCATCTTAATTTTAAAACATCCCTTTGCATAGAGTAAAGGACTATAAATCTGAGTACTTCTGCAAGAATACACACACAAAAAAATACTAAATGGGCCTTATGACCTAATGGAATCTCTCCATCCTTGGCTTGAAAAACTCACTTAAGCTATTGAGATAATATTATGTGGAATAATCTTTAGTAGCTTAAAAAAAAAAAAGGTATTAAATCTTACTAGACTTACTTCAGTAAGTATATGCAGCAAACCTATGCAGTATAAAAATATATCTTCTAAATTGCACGGAATGACCTGCATTTATTTCTGCTTGATTCACAGTAGGTACCTCTCTCTTTCTTTGTAAATAACACATGGCAAGAACTCCTAAGTGAAGCTTTGCATTTTAAAATAGTAGTCAGAATGACTTATTAGTATCAAGGAGGCTTCCTCCGATCTTTTCAGTCTGGAAATATTAAATCACTGTACTTAAATCATATACAGCATACTAAGAATTACTTTGTACTCTAGGTACTACAGATTTTAATAGCGCACTACAGATTTTTTTTGTTTTATCTGCTCACGTAGAAGCTATTTTTAATAAATCTAAACAATTGTAAAAATGAAAGAACCTTTAAAATGTGTTAGAAGCTTTTTCAGTTACAAATAAAAAATTGGGCACATTATCTCAGGAGTTCAACAGCGCTCAGAAAGTAAACAAATTACTTTACTACCAAGCCTTCACTTCTTCAGCACATCCTCCAGATGTGTACTTACTGATTGAAACATTTTTCCTGCCAGCACATTTTCACAGTACATTTACTATGTGTCCACCAAAATACAAATGAATGGAATAAACAGTAAAAACTGCTAAAAGGGAATGAAAAATCTCTCTAAATTAGGATTGTTCTCTGCATCATGCATCTGCTTAGAAAAACAAACTCGTATTGCTGTAATACTAGGCAAAAGAAAAAGTAATTCTTTAACCCAGCTATAGTAAAGTGCTCACCCCTTTACCACTTGGCAATATTTCTGTCTATTACAGTGAGTTTAATCAGTTGGCTTCCACTACAGCTAATACTGCTGAGTGATTTCAGTTGTACTAGCTTAGCTTCTAGGCAACAGCTGGGAGTATTTAACTGCTTTTTAAGAAAGAAACCCACAGAATCCTACTTTCAGTGATTTTGGTGGAGGGATGGCAGAGGAGAGAAGGTTAATATATCTCTTTGAAAAAGACAGTGGTTTTCTTTGATTGGTTGAAATCTCAAATCACTCCCATTCTCCAAAATAGATTTCATCATTCATTTATAATAATTATCTACTCCATTTGCAATGAATAATCCATATCAGAAATCAAAGGCAATTCAACATTTTTCTCAGGTTGCTAAACTGTTCATTTTGCACTGATTATGGTCCAGGTGATTTCAATGCAATGCTTATAGTCTTCCATTGCCTTGCTACATTTCCTACTGTCATTTCAGAAGGAGAAGCAAGTTTTCCAACAAATAACTGAGGGGTGGGAGGCAAACCAACAGCGTAGCTTAGCTTGTTGCGGTGGGTTGGCTTTGGCCAGCTGCTAGACACCCACTCTCACTACTTCTCCTTTACAGAACAGAGGGAGAAAGTAAAACAAAAAAGCTCGCGGGTTGAGATAAAGACAGGGAGATCACTTGCCAGTTATCATCACAGGTGGAACAGACTCAGCCTGGGGAAAATTAAATTAATTTATAGCCAATTATGGATTTAGTAAGAAATAAGGACAAAAACACCTTCCTCCTACCCAGTGCTTTTCTTCTGGCTCAATTTCACTCCTTCATTCCCAACTCCTCTACCTACCCCCTCTCACCAAGTGACACAGGGGGATGGGGAATGGAGGATTATGGTCAATGCTTAACAGTTCGTCTCTGTCACTCGCTCCTCACACTTTTCCCCTCATCCAGCACAAGTCCTCCAGGGGCTGCAGTTCTTGTCAGGATACCCTGCTCCAGCATGGGCTCTCTAAGGCCACGTTTCCTTCAGGGCATATCGAACTGTTCCAGTGTGGACTCCTCCATGAGCTTCAGTGGAGATATCTGCTCCAACACGGTCCTCTCCACAGGCTGCAGGAAAATGCCTGCTGTGGTGTGGTCTCTTCCAGAACTTCCACAGGTTGAAGGGGAATATCTGCTCCAGCACCTGGAGCACCTCCTCCCCGCCTCCTTCTTTACTGACATTGGTGTTCAGAGTGTTGTTTCTCTCTTTTTTTTTTTTTTTTCTTTCCCATGACTTCTCACTATGTCTGTGCAGTGTTTTACCTTTTCTTAAATACGTTTTAACAGAGACAATACCAGCTTCACTGAGGGGCTCTGCTGTGAAAGGGGAATTCTTGCACACACCAATTCAAAGCTTATACACAAAGACGCTGCCCTGGGCTCTACTAAACCTCTTGAACAATCTGACACTAATGTGAGACTACAGAGAGAAGCAGCAAAATAGCAGAGAACAAAAATTAAGAATTAACACACTTTTATTTCTAGAAATTATTCCTACTAGGAGAAACTGTTTTTTGACTCCCTTTCTTCCTGTATGTATTAAAACACACATACTTGCATGTCATAAATTTAACCTAACCTTACCTCAAGCAGTTGGAACTGCACTATATATTTTGACATATCTACTCTGAACTGAAGGATGAGCTATTGTCAAATAATTTCTCCAGTGCATTCACAATAAGCTGACTCTGTTAAATGCCAGACAGTTTTTTTCATTACAATAATCACTGTATTTGAGTGGCTGATGTTTTACTTACTATCGTAAATCTCAAATAATATTTTTATCATCAGTATGTGAAGGCATCATCATGACAATACAGTTCCATCTCGGCTCATCTTGGGGACATTTCAGTCTCTTCATAACAATAAAACCTAAGCCCTTCCCTAATCCTCAGTGCATTTATCTTCACAGTATTGCTAGTGAAGCATCCTTGTCTAATTTCTTAAATAACAAGTTAGAGCAAAATGGGACCACAGACACATTTTTTAAAGAAAAAAGCAGCACTTCTGTTTAAAGTCTGGGCTTCAGTGATTTTTCTATGATCAAATGCAACCTTATAAAGAAGAGGAATAATAAAATAATCTTTTATGGCAAAAGAGCTAAGTATCAGTATTGCATTGTCCCAGAGCAGCTACCAGTGGCTTCTTATACCATGTTTGTGAAAGACTGTAAAAAACCCCAGAAATAAAAAACCTAAATGCCACTAAATGCAATGTATACCAGTAAACAAAACCATTGCAAGTTCCAATAGAGCAGAACAGTCCTTTTCATTTGTGATGTTTCTTGCCTATGTAGACAAAAGCACTGTATGCTTTTTTTTTTGCCTCCTTTTTTTCCTTTTTTTTAAGAAAGGACTTTGTTTACACAATGTTCCCAAATGCAGAAGTTACTCAGAATATTAGCTAATAAGAGTAACCATTTCAATTTTGAAGGGAACGTTTGCAATTGTGAAATATTAAAACAAAGTAATCCATACAGGTACATGCATACTTTAAGAAGAATATGTATACTCTCAGGAAAGATTATGACTGACCAACAACGGAGTGAGTTTGATGGGATGTCAGAGACTTATTTGGTTTCACGGTGTGGGACTTTTTTTTTACATAGGACCGAAGTCTGAGAATCCTATGATGTTCACCCATGTATGCAAGAGTAGTAAGAGGAATTACTGTCAGGAGAAACAGGACAGGAGATCAGACATTTGGAAATACACAAGAGGAGAAGTGTTGGCTGTAATGAAGACAGTGGCAAAATCACCACTAAGTTCACTGGTGCCACAATTTCACCAGAAGTGGCAAGCAGAGAAGTAATCTTATGTTGATCTGATTATAGAGTTTTGAATGACTTAAATCCATTTAGGTCTAAATGTCTTAGCACTCATTGTAAAATACAATTTTTGGTATTTATGAGAAAAGCCTTTGCAGAATGTGCTGGGATCAAACATGAAGTCAAAACTTCACAGAGGAACTTAATAGAACAACTTGATGATTTATAAATAGTTTTATGCATTAGATGGCAATCTTCAGATTTGCCTCCAAACTATCTGAGATAAACTCAATGTTTTCATTCTAGCTATCAGTAGTAGTAGAAGCACTATGCTGAGTACAGCTATTGGAAAAAAGAAAAAAAAATCAGCAAAGAGCATGCCACCAGCAGATGTAGTCCATGTTTAGATAATTCTCTATACATTAGCTACTGCTGTGGATTTCTCCTCATATATGTGCACTTATACATTTGGATTTGCAGATCCTTGCTATCAGATGTTAAAACGAAAATCTCCATTTTTCGTAACAGAAATTTGCCTTCAAGAAAAGAAACAACAGAACCTTTCCATATCCTACCATACAGAAATTCGTCTAGGCAAGTAAGATCATAAACCCATAAATTTACTATGTAAAGGTTACCAGTGAAGAAGAATGCCCTGCATTTTTGGGGGTAAAATCTGATGACAGCCTTTCATTCACTGAGCTACACTACTTGAATTTTTATGTCAATTAAACTACGTTTAACGAAAATGAAATAAAAAAGGGAACTCTGACTTATACCAAGATAGTTTGTTTCCCATATATCTGTCTAGATAGTAAATGTGGGTGTACTCACCTGTCCCATGACTTTTACCCGGCTCTAATCTCTGCCCTTGATGTGACCAAGTACCATGAATAATTTTAATTGTCTCATATATGCACAATTGGATCAATTAAGAAAAATTACTTTCATAAATTGTCTTCCAAAGATAACTAATTATGCACAAAATAGCACAATTTGCCTCTGATTTTCATTAATGAAAGAGATTATCAGAAAATATGATGCCAACACTTCCATAAAGGAAGGTCAGATACCCTTCTTTAAATGTAAAATAAGTACGGTTTCACATATTGAAAATACTGAAAAAGAAACATGTCACATGTTATGACAATGACTATCAGACCATCACATTCCAATTAGAGATCATAGGAAGGAGTTGCATTTTTAGTTCTTCAGAACCAGGTAATAAGCAGTGATCTTTACAGCTGCTTGCTTTTTCTTTTAAAAAAAATAACCCACAGGTTATGCAGCCTTCTGTATTACATAATTAAGCCTAGCTAAACAGAGGCAATACAAAGAGCAAAAATCCACTCTTAGATCTTACACAGCAGATCTCTATATCCCCTGAACTCCCATTAATGTCAGCAGGAGTTCAATAACTGTTCTTGCATGTGTAGCACCATTCGATATCAAGAGCAGTTCAGTCCATGTACAGAAATTGGAATATTAGCTTTCAGATGTGCTGAGAGGCTTTGAGAGTTTAATTTCTTTCATCACTCAGAAATATATGCGTAATATGTTAGGAGGCTAGAGAGAGAAATTTTATATAAAGTCTCTAAAAGTTAATTTTCCAGTGTTTGTATTTATACGTGAATATATTATTTGTCCATGATGCATGCAAATTACTTGTCCGTAAGTATACAAATCATACATTACCAGGTTTGACTCTAATGCAGATACCAAACAAGTATATTCTGATAAGTAAGATATTAAAAACTATTTGAATTTTTTCCTTCGTGTGTATATCAGCCTCAGACTGGATGCAGGTATGAGCTAATAAGTAGCTAAATACTGGCCACTCTCTTCAGATGATCAGGAAACTTGCCAGCAGAAAATAGTTTCTATACTTACTCTTTGTTATGTGAACACATACCTGAAAGGAAATGGAAACATACACACAAAAACTTCACTGCACAGTATGTTCAATCCCACCTAAATCAGGGTGGATGCTAGCTGGTTACTCCCAAGTATTTATCCCTTATCTGATGAGGACAAGTAGAATTCCCCAATAAATTTTATGAAATCTTGACATTTAACATCTCAGGCAATGTGATTTTCTTTTCTTTTTTTTTTTTTTTTTTAAGAGGTCACTTGATTCCAGAAAAAACCCCACATGTTTTATCACTTACTCTTCAACAGCAAGCTATTTCTGAAATGTTTCCATTTTGAACGTTCCTCCATGTTTGTATACTATGGAATAACACTGGCATGTGGCATAATCAGGTAAATGTAGTAACATGTAACATTTTTTAATGTAGAGAAAGGATCATTTTCCTAAATTAAAAAGAACGTATTCCCAATACAGTGAGTTAGACTGATACTGAAAGTTCAGTTGTAGCTGTTGAAAATTTATTAGAATACATTATATTGAAACAACATTTCTTTTTGAGGATCTTTCTTTTATGGTATAGCTATGTGGTGATCCTGAAAAAGAATCAGAACCAGTAACAGCAGCAACAGTATGTATCTTTAAGGAAGCACTAGATGGTTTCTAATTATTTGCACAGAAATGGATACAGCCTCCTATATTGTAGTTCTTGTTTTTCAGTATTTTTGTCAGCTATTATTTTATAACTACATACTGAGACTACAATGCTTGCATAAGACCATACTATTTTTATCTGGCTTTTTTCTTCTATCTAATCATTAAATAAGTAATTCTTGCTCTGTTTCTGGCAGCTACTGGTATTGAGTGCTCCAGAAATAAGGCTGTCAGCTTTCTTATGTACCTCAACAACTTTGTTGTCGCTAGGCAAAATTACAAAGACTTGTGCTTGTTGAATAAGGTGCTTCTCGTCTTAAACAACCTCACAGGCAAAGTTAGTGCCTACAGAATAGACTACTGCTAACAGTTTCTAACATTTTCCTCTGATATAGGGGGAAACAAGGAAACTTACAGAGGTATCACAATCAAGACTCTATTGTCAGAGGTCCATATAAAATTTTAGACTATTTACAAAGCATTGAAATTAACTCAGCTTTAGTCTTCTTAGACTTTGGCAGTTAAATTTGCATAGGTTCCTCCTCCTCAGCATACTTAATACCCAAAGAGGTTGAGCAGGACTCTCCCCATATATTTTTTCTGACAAATTGGTCAAGTATATGTAGTGTTTCTCAAGGAAAATGAGAGGAGATAGTCTTACATTGCAGAAGTTTCTCTGATAATACAGAGCACAAAGAGAAAAAAGCTATCTGATCTGAACGCTGGGAGATAAGGAGTGAAAAGGAAAAAGAACAGTAGGACTAGAAAGAGGAAGAGAAAGAGTAAGACTTAAATGTATCTGAGCTCTGAAAGGAAGGTACAAAAACAAGTTGTATTTGAGAAATTCAGTAAGAGGTGGGAGCAAAGATGGGAGAAACAAGAGAGAAACAAGTTGCTGGTGTGAAAAACCTGCAATCACTACAGTACCCTAAAGAATTTTGATTTGACTCCAAGACCAAAATACTCCTCTGCTTTCAGACACACCAACTGGCTAATTATGTTGTATCTTTAACTTACTAGTCCACGAACAGCCTTCTGCAGTTGTAATTGCTATTACCAGTGACTATTATCGCTCATGTGGCTAGAGGCTTGTTTGTGCTGGGAATTCAATTTGAAGGGAATCTAGAGGGATCCACACAATGGAATAGTGCTTTTGAAGACATTAAATTTATACTAAAATAAATTACGAGGATGGTATAGTTACAAAGTCAAACATTCAAAAGTTAGGCTCTCAAACAGAAGTGGCCCAGGGATATTGGCCCAATAAATATATTTAAGCTCCTTTTCTGTAATTGTCTCTACTGTAAAGCAGTTCCTAGATGTTTTTTTGTTCTGTGACTTCCCTTAATATTCTGTATGTCTTACCTGGTTCTCTTGCTGGTGCCACAAACAAATTTGCAGAACCTGCTCCAGTCCTTGGCGCTGATGTTTAAGAAATCTGTCCAGTTGTCGTCTCCTGTCTTGCAGCATTTCAAGGAGATTGTCAATTTTCAAGCAGCTGTTGTGGGCTCCCTGAATCATCTCTGGATTCGCATTTGGCCCTTCACATTTGAATTCTTGTATGAATTCAGTTAGCTCTTGGCTTTTGTTTAAAAGTGCAAGTGACTTTTCCAAAAGTTCTGTAAGAATGGAATTTGATAGGAAAAAAATCCCAATGAGTTTTGTAATTCTAGTAGTGTATTTCAAATATTACTCAAGTATTTTTAAAACTACGTCATAAATACATGAGCATAACATATTTCCATGCATTGCATGAACAGGTTATAAATACTTACTTTGGAAGGTATATATCCTAAGACATTTCAGCTTGGACAGCTGGTATATAAACATACAAAGATATAAGGGTGTAGACAGGTACAAATAATACAATATATATGCACACATACAATGGTGTACTGAGAGCCATTGAGATAAAACCCAGAAGTGCTATTGTTTTCTCAAAACTGAGTTATTTTTGATGGTTTCCCTATCCTCAGGAAAGTTGAAGTGGAATTTCCTGCCCTGCTTTCTGTGTGAGTCAGTAGCCTCTGTAGTTTTTCATTAGTGATGCAAGCGAAGATTAGGTCTTTATGTCCCCCCAGAAGTTGAAAGAAAATGTTCCCTTGTCTGGGGGCTGATACAAGCTTATGACTAAATAAGTCATGAATATCAGGAACTCTTACCTTCTTTCCATAACCTTTACCTAGGTATATTCAGGGTTAAAATTAAGTGGATTAGTACACTTAAATGACCCACTAGTCATGTGTCTGGATTTGTTCCAGGTCCTTAAAGCCACATAGTACAAAATTTATTGAACAGACAACAATTAGTATTTATAAGTCTTCAAATGAAAAGGGAAAATTTTTAGGTACGAAATGAGGAAGAAGGGGAACCAAGCCAGAATAAGAGGCAAGATACACATGAAAAAAAATATAAGAAAGGAATGTTTGCAAGGAGCTGCTAGTGAAGTGACCAATGACAGGCAGCAAACAGCTGAAACATTCATCTTCCCAGCTGAGTATATCTACTGGTAACTCAAGGCAAAGCACCCTAAATCTCCACCTTTTATACAGAGCACCTAGGGAAGATGCAGAAGTGGAATACTTCCACTTCTCCAGCCACCAAGGGCTAACAGGAGAGTTTAGTTTCTGTTAGTTCAGTGCAACAAGCCTGCCCATTTTACTTCCTGCCTTCCAGAAAGGTGGTATTAATCAGAAATGTTCCATTTCAGTCCATCCAAAATGGAATACAGATAAAAATGGGTAAATTAGGATAATTAATATGTTTTCACCTTTTTTATTCTGATTTGAAATGCATTTGTTTCAAAACTTTGGGTTTTTTTTTTTTTTAAGTGGTAAATATTCATGATAAACTACTTATTGCATACTGGTAGAGTCAATACTTTGTAAAGGTCATATTTTCAGCCACCTTACTTGGGAGTGGGTAGATAGTACCCTTCTTGCAGAAAGCAATACAAACACTGGGTTTTATCAAATAGCTCAATATCAGTTTTCCAAATTAGATGAACTTAAGGTAGATTAAGAAGCCAATCAATTGCAACCACTTTCCTCCATCTGAAGGAAGGGTTATCCCCATCAAAGCAGTGTTTCTCTGGCAAAACATTTCATCTGATTCTTACAGTTATAGACCCTCTTTTCATCAATAAATTACTGCCAGATATTTCAGGTTAAAATTGCTATACAGTGAGCACTTTGTTGCCATGAAGACTGAATTGGAAGCCCCGAAACCAATATTAGAGTTATTTGAGTTCAATTCTCTCTTCAGTCTACTGAGAAGAATACCTGGCACTCAAGGCAGCTAAAAATATTTAAGCTGGCACTCCAGTAGCGAATAATAAAGTATAACTGATATTCTGCCAGTTAGTAATTTTGTAGCAAAATTTGGTTAAAATTATGAAGATGGAGTTTGAAATCTTATAAAAAAATACAGAAACATACGGAATTGCAAAGGCGTCTGAAGTATCCACACAATAAGATTGGTTTTGAGAAAATTTTTTTGTCCTTTTTGAATTTAGAATACCACAACATGGTAGAAGATGCTTCACATGAAAATTTAAATGAACAAATAAAGTCACATGGAAGAATTTTTCCAGGCAAACATATGTGCATGAATGCTGTGGTGGAAGGGGAGAGAGTACTTTTTTTTCCAAAAGTGTTACAGTTCTTGCTGCAGAAGCTCTTGGAAGATACTGGGCAACTAAATGGGGAAGTGGAACACAGCCCCACTCCTCAAAGTCAGAAGCAAAATACAGGGAACCACTGTAGGCAAATAGTTTCTGAAGCTGGTTAGTTGTCACCATATGTCATAGCTCCCACCCTCACTTCACCACTTCTGCTTCAAACCCCATCCCTGGGCAAAGGAAAGCAGAGGGCAGAGTTCTCCCCTGGCCACTCAAACTGCAGGACTCTGCAGGGGGTTGTTACCAGAGCTGACTGGAAATGCTCTAATGGAAAGATTTCCATAGGAAAATGCTAATTCATTAGTAGCTATGATAACTTTGATGAATTTTCCCATGGAACAGAAGGATGATTTTAGAACTTGCTTGCCAATCAGCACTAAAATTCAGCTTGGTTTCTTACCAGCTCATCTGAGCTGGACTGCCTTGACATCAGAATACAAGTTTACCACTAGCTGCTCTGCAGCAGCAAAGGTGGAACCATGAGAGAGCTAGCTCAAAACTAGGAGCTTCATGTCTTTCAGGAGGCCTTATAAAGAGTTATTTCACCATTATATTTTTTCCAAATAGAATATTTTCAAATTTGTGCTAAGATTTTTTTTTTCTTTTTTAGATATGCACAAGAAAAGTAAAGTCATCCTTCAAGGAGTCAGCACACAATCACACAGCATCAGGAGTGGAATACTGTTTGTACCTTTTGTATGATGCTCTTGTTGCAGAAGGAGTTCTCTCAAAGAGTCAATATTGTCAAACTCTTGGGCATTTTTCAGGAAATCTTCAACTTGGTCAATTTTAACAGCAAACTGCATTAAAAAAAAACAAAGGGTGGGAAGAAGCACAGTATAATTTTCTTTTGTAGAACTCCATCATAATCGCCGTATTATAAGGAAAGTTCATGAGAATTTGTAAATTCTTGGGAAAAGGCATTTTTAGTGACTGCTAGATACAGATGCTTTGTGGCCTCTACACACCTCCTGGTTTTTTGAGTTTCTTATTGATTGAGGGAGCCCAGATTTCAGTTGACATGTTCTGTAATCACAGTTTGTCACTTTATGAATCATCTTTCCTACATAGCTTTCAGACTCACTGAAAATAAATTCTTATGGAAGAATCTGTTCATTTCAAAGCCTTCAGTAAAATCATTTAACATGAATGAAGTCTTAACTTAGGTCTCCTTCCCAGAACTTCTTTCTAATGTTGGAGTATTGAGGGGGAAAAAAAAAGAACACATTTAAGGGCAACATAGACAGAGACACAATATTCAAAGGGATATTTTGATGGCAGAAATGAGTAGCAAATCTAAGCTAACTAATATTATGGTAAACACAGTACTTAATTATAGTAGGGAAACAGCATCTCTGTAATCAAGACTGAAGTTAGTCCTTTACAGCTCATTTTTCCATGGGTTCCGTATTTTACATATTGAAACATACTGTGTTTCAGGGAGATCTGGAGCAGATTTGGTAATCTGCTGAGATTGTTAAAACTAAGATTGGAATTCTTTATTTGGCTTCCACCTTTGCAGGTGCAATTCCAAGTATGAGTAGCTAAGAAAGAGTTGAGACACATATTCTGCACCTTAGCCAATCTTTATCAATTCTACTACTTCATTTCAAGAATGAAGAAATCAGTAGAGTTCAAACTTGTGTTTCAGTGTAAAAAAAAAAAAAAGTTGAAATATATGGTAAAATTAAGGAAGATGAAAAGCAAGCACTCTGCTTTTTCTGTCTTTTCAATTGTTCCACATTTTTCTTCCTCTTGATCTGCATGCTATAAAAGAAATCCATTAGGTATCAACATTTGAGATTTCAGTTCTTTTTTTCACTAAAGGCTCTTCTTGTGATATGTTTTGTGTTTTATCACAATAAAACAAAAATTTCCATAATCACAAGCTGTCATTTAAAGAAAAGAAACTTCCATAATAAGTTTCAGCAACTCCTATTTAAATCGATACTGCATTTCTTTTTTCTTTCTATATATAATGGATGTGATCTTTGCCGTGCTCCAGCTGCTGCACTTTGGTTTAATGATATAAGCCTGTTGCAAGGGCAATTCAGCTGGCCACTTAAGGATTTAGGCTGCACTAAGTCAGCCTTGGTAGTACAGAATTTGTCATAGGGATACTTATGCCAACTCTGTACTGATTTCTTTGTATAATACACATTGCCAGGACACAATAATTAGTAGATGGTTGATCTTGGACGGTTAGCAGTAGAATGGTTGCTTCTGTAATTAATAGGTGGCACTGGGCTATTGTAGAAATCCAGGAATGTGCGGAGAATTGAATGCAAAGCTACACAGGGTGCGCACACATCTGCAGGGCATGGAATCCCTCTCTGCTTTAGCTCCCTGTATATTGGTGAACTAGGATAAGAGACAGAGAGAAATGGGTAATCGAGGAAAGACAACACTCTGAAATCTGTCTCTGGGCTCACACAATTGTGCTTTTGTGCATATCTGCACATGGAAGTCTCAGGTAAAAGACTGGCAAGTTAGACTGATGTTTAGTTTGCATAATTACAATAGATGTGAAGATATTTCAGTGTAAAACCTTCCTTGGCCAATCTTCAGTAGCATTAGTGAAGGCATCTGAAAATTTAGTCCTTTCAATGCCAAACAATTTGAATCATAAGGAAAGAAAGATATCCTGCAGAATGTTGATAGCTACTGAATTACATATTTTAGGTCTTGGTCCAGTTCCATTTTTCACTGCCATTTTCTGTCAAGTACAAATTTTGGAGACATCATGACTAATATATTTCTTAAATTCTACCTTTTTTTTTTGTTCAGTTTTATCCTGAACTATCCAGAAGGTGGAAAAGGAAGGATGCATCTAGAGATTTTTATTTTCTTAATTGCTTCAACCTTTAGGAATGCAACGAATGTATATAACAGAGTAAAATTACAGTAGACAGAGTACCTGTAAGATGTGGGAGGTTTCAAATTGAGTCATTTGATTTAAATACAAACCTCCAGAGCATTTTCAAAGAACACTGAAGTAAGTTCCAGAAGTGTCTGTCGCTTCTCTAACATAATGATGAGGGCATCCCATGCATCTCCAAGGGTCTCCGCCATGGCATCATAAACTTGACTCTTTTCTTTGTTCTCCTCTGCAGCCTTGTCTGCTTCATGCAGCAGGTCCCATACCTGGTCTTCCAAAGCCTGAGAAGAAAGAAAGAAAAAGAAATCTGTAAACAGAATCCAAAACACTGTGCTGATACTGGTGTCAGGATACTTTTTCAGTGGGTCTGATAAACTACCTGCAAGTCTCCTACTGATTTACTTCCAGTTTCTAGTGATAGGAGTGTAGCTGGTCCTGCATGTTTCATAGCAAGCTTCCAAATTTCATCTGCACTTAAGAGGCAATATTTTTATGAAATTTAATTTTAAAACAAGTGTTAAGAGAATTTGTCTCTATCTCTAATATTTAGATTCAAATGGGTTCACATCTCCTTAAACATAGATCTTCCTGGATGTGGTAGCAAAGGCAAGTATTTTGAATCTTCTTTCATATGCCATCATATTACATTACCCGACATTACAGGCTTTAAAAGTTTGTAAGGTAACTTACTCGTAAGTCTCCAATGATGTCAACACAATCCAGACAAGCTACAGAGTAGCTTAAACATATGCACAAATACTCCAGAAAAACACCAAATTTATGCAATGTTTCAAGTTCAGCTCTCTGCATTGGTCAAGCTGGACACCAAATAATAACACACTATTGTCAAGAAAATCATTCTGCTATGTTTCATTCCCTTTACTAACCTCACCATGAGAAAAATAACTGCTGGGCCATTTCCAGCTTATGTTAAAAATCTTCAGTGTGTCAGAAAAATTGATTATCATTTCTTCTATATTCTTCCCTCCTCCCCCCTGTCTTGGGTTTTATCATGAACATGAATTAATAAAGAGCCAATTTCTGCAGTTATTACAGGTGCTATCACATGAATGTGTAATGGGAAAAGAAATCTATTAGGCAAATTAAAATCTATGGTAACTTATTCTCATGACACAGACTCTAATAAAGGCTAAAGAATTGGAAAACTTCAAATTCTCCTGACAGATCCAACTGAAAAGAAGAAATTGCAGAAAACTTTATTGTTCTAAACACAGAACCATAACCTCCAGTCCTCCCTATAGCTTGTATACTACACAAGTCAACTTGAAGAGGCTCATTAGTTCTCTCTAAAATAAGTACTGTGAGAATAGCATAATAAACTATGGAACTTTTAGTCTTTCTTTGAAAAAAATAGAATTAAATTATTTTAACTTAACTTCACAGACAGCCAACTATGAAAACGAACAGTGGTAAAATTAACAGGCATAAGAGCAGCTCCAACAAACTGATCTTTTTCTACAGCATATAGAAATGTTGTTAACAGCAACATGAATGCATGCTTATTATTTAGCGACAAAGCTATCAAAAAGACCATCTGATCAAAAGCCAGTGAGAACAAGACATGCTCCATTTTATTTTCTGAATACCAGGAATGGAAATTGCTGCTTTCTAATCCTGCGTTAAAACCAATTCTTTTTGTTCTGTTGAATTCCCATCCTGATTGCCTCACATGAGAAGAAAAGCTCAATTGCTACCTTTTCTGTATTTAAGTAGAAATCTAATTAACATTCATTTAAAATGATGCTTTGACTTTAAATGAGGTCATTTGTATGGAGTAGATATTGATGTAACTATTGATAGAAACTGTTTTATATCTCCATTATACCACAATACCTGGCAAGAATCAGTTCAGGAAAAACAGTTGGCCTTGGAGATCTAATCCGAAGTACTCCAGTCAACTTTTATTCAAGAATATTTATCTAGCTGACAAGGTAACTAAGGGCTGCTGCAGGTTTTTTTCTAGTCTTACATGCAGCAGTCAGAACCCATATTATTAGAAATAAAAAAAAAGCAGCACTGACTCATAATTTTTAAACCACAGAGATTATATGATTGTACAATTAATAAAATTTAAAACTCAGCTTCATGAAAACAACGATAACGATAAGTTAATGAACGAAGCTTATGAAAATTTTAAATTAAAATCCATCTTTCACTGCAATCTTTAACAGTTCTTTCAAACCTTTCTTAGTTTTTCTTTTATTGTTTCGCATCATTATATCTAAATTATTTTTATACTATCAAATCTGTAAAAATTATGTTGTCCATGTAATACTGGATTTTCCTAAATATATGCACAGTCTCTTCAGAGCCAACAAAGCTTTGGTTCTTTGTTCAACCTCAAAAAAAGGCTAAACTACAAGTACTACCTGCCAAGTGCTACTTGCGTTGGATGAATCCTGGCTAACAGATCTAAAGGAAGTTGGTTTTGTTTCCTAGCACCTAGAAGAAAAGATTTTGTGAAAGCCTTGTGGAAGTTTGAAGGTCAAAGTGTAGAATAAAGGAAATATCATGACAGAAGATGAATGAATGAAATATAGAAGGATGTGACTTCATTGTCCTGTGACGCAGGGTACGATGAGGTTAATGTAGACATACTTCAGAGTTCTTACTAGATACAGCTGAAAATGCTTTACCAATATTTTTGAGGTAAAAAATGATTTTTTAACTTCTATAGATCAAACATTTGCTTTTAGCAGACAAGTTTGACTTCATTTGAAAAAGTGATTGCCTTAAGCTAAAAAATAAAAACATGGAAAATGTTGCTTTCATGACCCCATTCATTATGTCCACTTTCCTTTATTTGTTGGGTTTCCTAATTGCGACATTCCTTTAAGATATAACAGAAGTTCAGCAAAAGGAGACTGTGTCTTATTATTGGAAAAACAATGCTGTAAGGAATATTGGGTTTTAGTGCAGAATGAATTTGAGACATCTGAAATAATTATTCCATAAAATGACATGAGAATTCTAAGTGTTTAGTCAAAATCATTCTGCTGAAAGTAAAAAGCTCAGTTTTAGGCCAAGTGATGGCTAGAAAACAAATCTGAAGTTTTAATATGCTAGCAGTCATTGTTTTAAGTTAAAAATGACCAAGAGTTAGGGATTATTTTCCCTGATATTTATCAAGGAACTGGGAAATTACCAAACAGGTAGTATATAGTATTCCTGTCTCTCTTAGAAAACAGATTACAGTTTACTGAAACTAATGCAGGTTTGGTTGTTTTTTCTTTCCACTGACAATTACCTTCAAAAGTAACCTACAGGCATGATGGCTGCATAATAGGGCACGTCTTTGTCTATATTATTCACCTGTTTGAGAACACTACATTTTAGGCAAGGTCTTGAGAAGTCCAATGGTCAATACAATACTAACAGGAAGAAGGAAGTTACTTCATCTGGAAGGCCACTTCACTGATCTTTTCAGGCCCCATCCTCTATTTTCCACTTGTTGGTTAACTTCAGACACACAGGATTTTCAGGATAAAAACAGATCAAGCAAATCAAAGGCAAACCTGCATTAATAGTGCAGTCGCATTTCTACTGTGTTATATAATGCTGGTAAAATTGGTAGTTACTTGTGGTATTTCATTCTTATCTTGCTAATTATGCCACTAAATTTGTTTCTAAGCTTTTGCACAAGGAATACTAATGAACGATTTCTTTAATTGAAGCCATTTGCCAATAGGTAAATGAGTACATATAACTATAATATGCTGCTCTTCAAATAGTCTATACATTCAATAAAAATATTTTAGTCTTCCAATTTGTTTGTAATGCCAGCTGTCCATGTTATTATTCATTACATTTCACAGACAACATAAAGGCAGGATATGACATTTACATTCCTTCAAAACAGACCTAGATATTGATTCTCAAAATGTATTTTGAAAACACAGCCAGACTGCTTGCAAGATGATTTTAAAAGGCTACCCCAATAAAAGCACAGTATAAAACAATGTTTTTGTTATCATGAAGACACAGTCAAGGATAATTTGAACAGCTTTTCAGACATATAAGAGAGGAAATTTTTACTAATTTTCCATGTCACACTGCTTTATTCTCTGTCCAATTTCATCAAAATAATCAATATTTTCTAACTATATATGGTAACATAATATGAAATGCCTCTGCTTGTTTACAGGACATAGAAAAATGTTTCACTCTTTTCTCTTTCCTAACAGCTCAGCTTATTCAAAGCAATAGTACTCAAGACCCAAATTCAACACTAACACTATTTCACTTCTAGAAAAAGAATATTCTAGAGGAATCATGAATCAGGAAATAAGATATGAGGTTTTTAAAAGCTATAAAAATGGAAAATAAATAAGGTTCATGCATTTCATTAATTTTTTTCAATAGCTTAACTACTGATAAATGAAGGCATAAGAGATCACGAAAGGGAAAACAAAATAATGAACAAAGGTTTCATGTGCAGACTGCGTCATACTCCATTCTTGTTGTTTATCACCCAACACTAGGAAATAGCTGTTATGTCTTAAAGTTTGTTTTAAAATAGACCTAAAATTTAGGGCTATGTCCTACAACAAATTACGTCTATGTGGCTTTTTGATTTTTTGATTTTTATTCACTTGTACAATCTTTTAGGAGGAAGTGAAAGTTCATGTCAGAGTTCAAGTACTAAATGTCAATTTGCTTTTATGCAGTGTTAAAATTTTAATAGTTTGGATTGTTCTAAAATTTGGAGAGAAGCCTGGAAACTGGTGAGGATACTTCCTTCTCTGGGTAGCTACCTAACCTCCACAGGCAAGGGACAAACCAAATCCACAGTTTTAACAATTGATCCCATGGGTGAGATTCTTGTCCTCTCACTTTCCAGTCACTTCCAGAGGCTTGCAGAGATCTGGAGTCCCTGAAAGCCCCCAGTTTATCTCCAGCCTGCAAAGTGCAGCTCTAGTGAAAAGGGAAACCATGAGATTTGTTTCTTGAAGCAGTCGTCTGCCAGGTGAGGATAGAAACATAAAGCAATGTGGAGTGAGATCACTAGGCCTGATAGTTATTACTGAAAAAGCCTTTTGTCTTCTGTTTCTTTGCTCCCTCCATGCTTTGTTCATCAGTTCAGCAGATGTTCCAGCCCAGGGTTAAGGTAACTCAAAGATAGCTTATTGCTTCTCAAACTACTTCACCCTTTGCTACGGGTGCTGTGCTTCATCACAGATTCTTACCCTCGAAGGTTATAAAGAAAGTGAAAGATCATGTGATTTTATTCTTTTTTAAATACTAAATTAAAATTATTTCA